CAAAAAAAGGATTGGTGACTTGCAAAATTAAACATATTGATTCTAAGGACATGTGTTTAGTTTGATTTCTTATCTTTCTATTTATCAATCTCTTCGATAGAGATTGTTACTTCGAAGGTAGTAATGTAACACTTTAAAGAAAAGACTTATATGTAAAATACTTTTGATTTAAACTTAAAAGGAATGTATAAAACTTCAATTGAAAATGAATGGCAATAAACATAAAACTGGTGCATCATACATACATTCTCACAACACTTTTCTCGAACACTGGTACTTTGAGTAATTTAGAGTAATTTGTACAAATATGTGAATACCCGAATCCTATTGCTAAGAATCCTATTTATATTATTTCGACCTTAACAGTCATTCTACGCCTAAATGCCACGTTTGTTGTTGCATGTTCTTCGAATCTCTCTAGGCCTCCACGTGTCTTTTTGGATAAGATCAAATGTTTGAATTCGAATCCTCTCTTTATTCGAAGCGCCAAATCTCCAACGTGCCATAACAAACTGATCTTCGAGAATTAAATCTCTAAACCTTTATTCCATCGAATTATTTCAACAAATTTGGACCATCCATAATCTTGATCAGTCGAACCTTGTAAAGAAAATAGCTTTATTTTTCTAATTCAACTATCGTCGAAATTCCAGCTAACAACTAGTAAAAAGGAAAAATAGGGAGTTGAATCGTATCATTCGATACGATCCAATTTTAGAGAGAAGAGAAAGCAAGGAGGTGAGAAATAGTTAGGGTAAAAGAAGAATCATTGTTGAATCTTTGGAACCGTCAATCCAATGTAAGGGTGAGGTTCCAACTTTCTAAGGGATGGTATAATGATGGGTATGTTAGGGATTATAATGATGGAGGTATACATATAATTTCCTCCCAACAAACACAAAACAAGCGTCGACCCCCAATGTTACATATCAGAGCAGACACCGACTTGATAAAACACATAAAGAAGAGAAACCTCTTCCACAAACTTCCACTCTTCTACTCCGGAGTATCTTCACTTTACCCACATGGAGGCAACATTCAAACAGAAGGGGTGAGATTCACAATTATATAATGAAATTCATAATAACATGTAAGCATAAAATTATATCAACACAATCACCCATTCAATAATCCATACACCCTACAATCCAACATGGTAATACATGATGCAAGCACACTCCATACCATCCAAACATTATAATAAATAATATATGCAATGTATGAGACCAAACTCTATGACTCAATGCATGTGATATCAATTATGAACTCTCGGGTTCATCTCGCTTCCGATCCCCACCATAGGATCAGAGCACGCCAAAAATTGTCACCATCACCATAGGTAACGCTTCACTAATCCCCCACCATAAGAATTGACTACTCTCACTTAATTCCCACCATAGGAGTAAGGCTCACCAAAAGCGAACAACCGTCCAAACACCATGATGTATGGTTCATCAATGACATGCAACAACAACAAATATGTACAATGATATTCACCTTAATTAATATACTATACCAGCACCAGCCACCAAACACCAAAATAAATGTTACATGCATTCAACATTAGCATTATAGTAACACATCGCATACCAGAATACAATCCATACACCAACATCACACCACAACATACAACTAAACACAATACAACACCATCACACATCATTTAAATCATTTCCATAAATTGAAACTATTTTTAAAGGAAAGTATATTGTGTCATCTTCCAAATACTTCGAACGACACCTCAATCGGACATCTGAAGCTCAAGCTATGAGTTTATTCATTTTTCAACACATAGTAGTGGTAGCTGGTTACGTCAAAACCCGTAACAGGTTACATCAAGTCCAGAAATAGCGAATACATAATTTCCCAGTGGTAACTGGTTACATCAAATCTGGTAACCGATCACACCTCCCAAAATATTCAGCTTTACAAATCTTAGACAGCGTAACCGGTTACATCAAAACTTGTAACCGGTTACACCTATGAAAAAATATTTCTTTGAAAAAAAATTCAGGCGTAACTGATTACACCAAATCGCGTAACTGGTTACCACTGAAATAGTAACAATTTTCTGCAAGTTTCAGGTTATAAAAATCAGTTCCAAAACATCCCTGAAACTCCAATTCTCATGGACAATCATGTACCCAAGTTCTACACTTTGATCCCAATAACATACAACATTAAAAACATCCAACAAACACACAATCATCCAAACATACTACACCAATAGCATCATTATGCATCAAATTGTCCAAAACATAGAGAAGAGAAAAACAATCATAGAGAGATTAAAACACCCACCGACATGTTATCATACAAGTCCTTACATAAGAGGAAATTTCACTCTTACCTTAGATTGATGAAACCCAAGTTTCTCTAATGAAATCCTTCTTCTTTTATACTCTAGCTTTCTTCCTCTTCTCTTCTCTGTTTTCACGTTCTGCCACTTTCCACTTCTCTATTTCCTTCTTTTTCGTATTATAATTATTATATTACAACTTATCTCAACTAATTAAAATAAATATTATTTCAACTTAATATTTATTTAATTAAATTACTATTAATATTATTTAAATAATTCAAACAATTATAATTACTAATATAAATTAGTTCTACTTTTACCACCCCTAATTATCTACGTTTTTCTCAAACACCCCAAACACCTTAAATTCTATATTTCTAAAGTCACCACCTTACACCAAAGATTCCTGTAACACATCAACACAACAACCAACACATATCATCACAAAATTTATTTACAAAAATTAATTAAATAAATCAGGGCGTTACACAATGACATGGGAACAAGGCATACAGAAGGCCTAAAACTTGCCACAATCGCACCAGCTTCTATTTAGTTTTAATAATATAGACTAAATTTAGCATCCCCTCATTGTGGTCATTATTTCCTATACACTGAAAGTATGTCTATGATGGTCAATGATTGTAACCACGTGTGTTCTAGCTTTGATAGATTCCTCTTTCATCACTTTCATGCAACTTTCTCGGAATAATTATCTCGACCTTAACACTGCACTTTATCTTTTTCCTTTGGTTGCGAAAAATGATGCCAACCTAAAATAGGTTGTTCTCACCAATGTGTTTATTGGTAGATTTATAATGCCTTTGAAGACGTAGTTCATGGATTCCACAAGGTTTGTTATCATGTGGCCCCATAGACATCCTTCGTCAAACGCCCTTGTCCACTTCTTCAATAGAATGTTATCCACCCACCTTAATACATCAGCATTTGACAATCTAATTTCGTTACAGTAGTGTTGAAATGATGGTTGAGTTCGAGCATACCCTGCATTCACCACTTTTTGTAAAGGTTCTTGTATTTAATTTCTCGCATGAAGTTTTGTGTGATACGTCTAATGCAATAAACATGGGTAGAAGAAGGATTATGGCAAAGACACTTTTCAAATGCTCGACAAAATATAAACACAAACAACAACACAAACAACAAAATATAAGACTTAAAACATAACACCATAACATGTCTAAGATATGGCAACGATCAAAACAATACCATATGATGCTGACATCATATCCCTAACATCATTATCATCTTTAACTCGCACTCACATACGCTGCATAGCATTATTGTCATTTGCAATTGAGACATATGAAACAAGCCTCTCGATTCTTCTAATTCTTTCTTCATTATTAATCTCTCGTTCTAACCAACTTTTCAAACTCCTTTCAAGATGTTTGAAACGTTGGATGTTCCAAATACGCATTTTCATCGGAGGCTCCGTTGCCGAATAACAGACATGCCAGTCTCTTTTAACAATCATGATAGAGCTAGTGAAGAAAAGGAAATACGATTATGAAAAGAGGCGTGGAGTTGAAGTGGTAGGAGACACTTACTTCTATTTATAATAAAAAAACACAGCACATTAGTGCCAATTGTATTGGCGTCACTTTTAAAATTTAACACATAGGCGCCAATTAGATTGACAATACTAAGTGCAAACACCAATCTAATTGGGGCTTCCTCTTAAAACATAGATGTATGCGCTAATTCACATAGCACCTGTGTTGCGTCCTTTTTTTTTGTTTGAAAGTGTGGTAAATTGAGAATTTTTTTGAAATGTGGGTTATTTGAAAAAAAAAAATTGGAAATATGAGTTATTTTGGTAAAAAAATTCACAATTATGAAATTAACAAATTGGAACAAAAAAAATCTCATAACTATTCTTTGATTAAAATTGATTATTATATGAAAATCACCAAAGAAACGTGAAGCAAATACATTAATCAATTGAAGAAGTGTTATGTAATGTCCAATATCCATTTCCCATCTCTAATACATTAATCAATAGAAGAAGTGTTGCATAATGTCCAATGTCCATTGCCCATTTCTAATACATTAATCAATAGAAGAAGTGTTCTATAATGTCCAATGTCCATTGTCCATCTCTATTAAAGACATGACAAAAACTATGGATTATTTTTAAATACAAATATAAGAACTCAGTGTAACAAGTCAAACAAAATTCCACCTTCACATAAACAGTTAGCATTGCTCCACACCCAAAATATAAATTTAATTATTATTTAATTTTGTATCTTTAAATTCTTCCTTATAATAAAAAGGATGACAATTTTTTTCTTTAGTTCCGATTTTTTATTTATTTCAATATCAGTAAAAATTGGCGAGGAAGCCTCTACCAATTTCAATGTTTTTTGAGTTGCAAATTTGTAATGAAATGACTAAAGTATTTTACTTGAGTTGCAAATTTGTAAGATAAATAACTAAATATTACCTGAATTTCACTCCAACCGTTTTTTCCTTGTAGTCACAAATATTTATATTTTTAACCAATGGTGGTTGAGTTTTTATACCAAAAAAATAATATAATGGTAGAGTTTAGTAGAACCAATGACTCAACTTACAAATCACAATTGAATTTGAATTGGTCAGTAGAAACATCTAAGTCGAGTGAGATATTTTCAACTTCCAGACATGAATCTTACTTGGGTTGCAAGTTAATCTAGCTACTATCATTATCAATATCCAACTTAGACTCTCTTTTCGAATTTCTAAGAAGTGGAACAACATCATTATTATGTTCAACATTCCTCTCTCCATAACCAAAAAATTCACCAAAGTTAAGCAATACTTGCAACACCTCTCTCATGGAAGGTCTACTAGATGGAAGTGTTGAAGTACACATAACACCAAGTTTGAAAACTTTGCACATTCCATCTATGTGAATTGGTTCCGTAGCTTCTCTGTCAAGCAACTCTTCTATATTGCTTCCTGCTTGAATGTGTTGCCAAGACCATTCTGCAAGAGATGAATGCTCATCACCATAATTAGCTTCTTTGCCAGTCGTTAGCTCCAATAGGATAACACCAAAGCTGTAGACATCAACCTTTTCACTAACTTTTGTTGTTTGAACATATTCTGCAATTCAAACATATCAAAAACACATTCAAGTTTAATTGAGGAAAATGAGACAAACATGAAGGGTTAAAATTTTTTTTTTTTTTCATCTTAACCCTCAAGATCGGGAAGGGAACCTGGTAATCCAAAGGTCAATTGGCAATTAAGAGAACCTTGAGTTCTAAAATGATTCTATTTATGTGTCCTTAAACATGAGCTTGTTTCGATAAACACATTAGTTAAGAGCTTATAGCTAGCATAATGTATAATTTATTTCTATAATAAAATATAAAATAAACTGAAACTCTTTTCAATATCTATAAGTTGTTTTTAAAAGCTATTTTGAAGAGTTTATGGAAATAAGCTGAAAACAAAAACAGCAAATGAACATGTCGTAAGTGATATCCATAAGATCTCCCGACTAGTTTGACAGGTACTTATGCTAGTAGAAAGCATGTAAAAAAAATTATTTTTGACTTTAGAAGGAAAGTATTTTTACTCGAATTCAAACTTATAATTTCATATTAAACAGGATCAAAGCCAAAATGAATTCAATTTATATATAACCATCAGAAAAATATTAAGAGATATAATTTTTAGCATGAATGAAAAAATGATGAATGGAATGTCATGAATTTTACCTGGAGCCATATAGCCAAATGAACCAATAACAGCTGACATAGTAGCAAGCTCACCAGGCTGTATCAGCATCCTAGCCAAACCAAAATCGGTAACTTTTGCATTGAATTGTGAATCCAAAAGAATGTTACTTGTTTTCACATCTCTATGAACAACAGGTGGTGAACATTCATGATGCATATAGCTCAAACCTTGAGCAACACCAATAGCTATGTGCATTCTCTTTGTCCAATCAAGAACACCGTGATGAACCGAACTTGACAGCATATTTGAAGACTTAATATTATTTTTCTTGTGCAGCCATCTATCAAGACTCCGGTTTTCGACATACTCGTAAACAAGTAGCATTGTATCATTATTAGAGATACAACACAACAATTTCACAATGTTTCGATGCCGAATGCTGCTCAATATTTTAACCTCAGTGTGAAATGATTTCTCAAGATTATTGTCTAGTTTTTTGTTTTCCCAGATCTTTTTCACAGCTACATAGCCTAATCCGTCAATAACAACTCTATAAACCGTTCCATATCCACCTCTTCCGATGATATTATGTTCTGTCATTGAAGATACTATATCTGATTCGGTGAAATTTAGTCTTTGAAATGAAGTGAATTTCCACGATGAGTTATCAAATCCCTGCTTACTTTTACGGTGAAGTTTGATAATCATGAGTGATATCAATGAAGCCACTAAGACGGAAACTACTACCAAGACTACAATCAATGTAGGAGATAAAGACGAGTCTTTGCTTTTCCTTTGAGTGTTGGAATTAGAGTTGCATAAGGTAAGGTTCAATGTTGGGATATCAGCACATAAACCAGAATTGTTCAAAAAGCTTCTATCATAAGCTGAATTTTCAAATTCACTAGGAACTCTTCCTCTTAAATGATTGGACGATAGATTGAAATCTGTAAGTCTAGGAAGTATAGAAGGTATTTCGCCAGAGAATTGATTTTCTGATAGATCAAGAACACTAAGGGAAGGTATATCACCAATTGAAACCGGAATTTCTCCATTGAGTTGGTTTTGTCTCAAATTTAGTGTCACTAATGACTTCCATGATATTATATCAAATGGAAGTGACCCTTTGAGTTGATTTTGATCAAGCAACAGTCTTTCAAGTTTAGAAAGTGCTGTTAGCTCTTGAGGAATACTTCCATTAAGATTATTCTTGCTTGCTATGAACTCAACCACATTAGTCCAATCAGATACTCCAATTGGAATTCCACCATAAAACTGATTGTAACTTATATCAAAAAGTGAAATATTTGAAGACAAGTTTTGAGGAAGTTCACCACTGAACTTATTATTGCTTACCATAAAAAGCACCAAATTTTCAGCTTTCCAAAGACCATTAGGAATTTTACCATAAAACTCATTATTGTAAATTTTCACCTCCAACAGGCTACTACAACTTCCAAGTGATTCTGGTAACTCACCACTTAGACGATTATCATAAGTAGTTAAATTTTGTAACTCTCCATGATGGCACAAATTCTCCGGTAACCTTCCCTTAAAACTGTTTGTTGCAACGTCAAAACTTCTTAGCTTTGAGTAAAGGCCAAAATCAGGAGGAAGTGTACCTGACAAGTTTTTGTTTCATGTAAAAAATAATACTATTAATAAAAATATAATCAAAATCAAACGGAATCAAAACTCGTGCAAGAACTCAAACGTACCTGACAAGTTGTTCATAAAGACCTTCAAATCAATTAAAGATGGAAGACGACCTATGCTTTGTGGAATCTCTCCTGAAAAATTATTCACAGGCAAAGACAAGCCAGTTAACTTCTGAAGCTTTCCAAAATCATCTGGTATTTTTCCTGTAAGATGATTCTCTGCAAGATCAATAATAGTCAAATTTAACGCGCCAACCACATCAGGCATCTCTCCGGAAAGACTATTTCTAGAAAGTAACAATCTGGTTAGATTCTTCAACATGAACAAACCACTAGGAATTTTTCCAGTTAAACCATTTTTTGACAAATCCAAATCCTCCAAAGAAACCATATTTCCTATTGGCTCAGGCATTTCACCAAACAGATTGCAGCCATACATATAAAACACCTTCAATTTACTCAACTTGGTCCAATTCATCGACAACTCAGAAGGCCTAAACGAATTCGACGACAAATCCAATGTTTCAAGATTCAACAAATTTCCAATCTCGTCAGGGAAAGTTCCATTAAAGTAACAAGCTTGAAGTGCAAGAAATCTCAATTCCTTTAACCTTCCAACACTTGAAGGAATATCACCAATGAAATTAGTGTAACTAAGATTAAGATAATTCAAATTAGATAAACGGAAAATATCATCAGGAATCTTTCCAACAAAATTGTTCATAGACAAATCAAGATACTCCATATTTGAACAATTGTATAGATATGTTGGAAACATCCCAGGTATGTAGTTGTTGTTGAAATCAACATGTGTGAGGTTTTTGAGGTCACATATGAAAGAGGGTATGGTTTGACTGATGTTGTAGTTGGCCAAAGACAACCATGTGATGGAACCATTTGTGCAATTGATCTCTGGCCAAGAACAGTGAGAGGTGTTTGATGAAGTCCAATGAGTGAGATTTGGTGGATTTTGAAAGTGTTGTTTTATTTTCATTAGGGTTTCATGTTCTTGACCATTAAGATTGTAATGAGATTGAGATTTTGCATGGGTTAGAATGATGAGAAAACATGTTAGAATATAGTGAAATGTAAATGATGATATTTTCATTTGGGTGTTAGAGAGTTTTTTTTTCTTTTTTTGTTTTTTTCCTTTTTAAGTGTTTGGGATTTGTGGTGCATTGAGGAAAATGCTTTTGTGATTTGCAATGCTTACAAGGATAATTTGAATCATAGAATCGAAATTGAAAAGTATGTGACGTGATTAAAGGAGTGAATCCATTAACGTGTTTACAATGCAACTATTGACTTTCAAAAAGTTGAAAATTGTTGGTTTTCTAGTTCAATTTTGGCGTGTGATGATAAAGTCAATAACACCAATCTTTTGGTTGATTGTGACAAATGTTTGCGTAATATAGTTTACATCACCAAAATTTGAATGTCAATGATATTAAAAGGTATTGGTAAAGGTTTTGGTTGGAAATTAAATAAAGTATATTAACCATAGAATTGAATGCTTTTGTGTAAGTCGTTTTACTTTAACATATATTTTTTGAAAAAGAAATATTAAAAAAAGAAACATTGTACTACCAACAATAACACCACTTAAAAGAGGTAAGAAGTAGGAAATTCATCAAAACTTATAGTATGAATAGTCAAGTTGACCAGGTTTTTTAAAAATATAGAAAATATGAGAACTAAAAGAGTGCACGGAAATATGAGATCGAGAAAATTATAAAGTAGGACATCAAACTTGTTTTTAAATAGACACCAAACTTATACCGAATATGGTTACTTTTTATTTACAAAGTATTCATATGGTTATACATCTAGAAGTCACAAAATGAATTTGGCCAGTCTTATCATTTTTGTCACATACTTAATTAAAGACAATTTTTCTTTATATCCTTGATATTTTTCTGAGGCTGCTCCCGAATTTTCCAAAATACTTTCTATTTTTGAAGATATATTTTTAAATATACAAAAAATTATTTTTATAACAAAAAAGTTCGGAAAAGTATTTTTGAATTTTTAAAAAAGTAAGTTCAGAAATGTTTCATTATATAAAAATATTTATTATATAGATAGTCATATAAATAAATTCAACATTATATAACTATTTCATCGGGACGTTGCAACATAATGATTATATCTTCGACGGATCTTTGAATATTTGCATCCACTTCAATCAGACCATTTGTTTCATAACAAAGAAAAATACTTCACATAACGTTTAGATCTTCACCCGTCTTCAGTTTAAGGTTGGTGAAATGGACATTGCATTCGCTGCCAAACGAGGGTGACTGATACTTGTTGAGATTGTAATTCCTTGTGTCGAAGCAACATGTTGCTCGACAGAAACAAGGTTGTGTCGAAATTAAGTCTAATGTATGTCGAGTTGTGTGTGTCAAAGTGTCAAAGTAGGTTACTTCCCACAGGTTTTCGACTTAGATCTAAATTCTATTTTGAGTTTTTATAGTTTTGGACTTTACCTTAGGGAGCAAGCAAACTCATTATAAATAGAGGGAGTAACCCCTATTTTTGTAATAACACAACTTGTATTCACATAATTTTGCAGTTGCAAAGTGAATAAGATTTTTCCACAGTTTGTGGGAGAGAAACTCTAAAAATTCATCATCTTCTCCTTACTTTGTTCAAACTCTAATTCTTTATTTCATTGTTATTATGTATTGATAATAATCTTGTTCATCAAGATTGATAGAAATTCTCCATAGGTTTGGTGGATTTTCAACATTTGGTATCACAGCACTGACTGAGCGATTCGTGGAAAGAAAATCACGATGACAATGAATCATCCAAATGGGCATTTTCCAGCAAGCCTTCCAATTCTCAAAGTTGGTAACTGTGAGAATTGGTGCAAGCAGTAGAAAGTTGTGTTTTGTTGTCAAGATATTTGGGATCTTTTGAAATAAGGGTTAAAATCGCTTGAAGAAAATACAATAGAAGAAGAAGAGGTTGCGCACAAAGAATTTAAGAAGAAGAATTATAAAACTCGTTTTATATTTTTATCAATGTCTGAGTCCAGACAATTTCAAAAAGGTGAGTAATGTAGAATCTAAAAGAAGCCTGAGAGATTCTTGAAAAGTCTTTTAGAGGTGCAGAAAAGGTTAAAGAGGTGAAGTTACAAACTCACAAAAGAACGTATGAATTACTTCAGATAGAAGAAAGTGAAAGCATAACTGATTTCTTCACTAGGGTTACGAAACTAGTGAATCAAATCAATGTATATGGAGAAGTGTTGACAACCAGATCATTTGTTGCAATGATTTTGAGGTCATTGGCTCCAAAGTTCGACCATGTGGTGGTAGCCATTAAAGAGTCGAAGAATTGATCAACATTGAAAAAAGAAGAGCTTTAAGGGACACTTGAATCTCATGAACAAAGAATGGCTGAAAGAGTTGCGAGCAAGTCAAAGAGTTATGTGGATTTGCAGGCGCAGTCAGCAAAAGTAAAGAAAGGAAAGGGAAAATGGTTCGACAACAGAGGTAGAGGAAGTTACAATAATCCGACTGGTAGAGGAAACCAGCAGAAATGAATTGTGTCGAATCCAAGAAAACCCCCATACCAAAGCAACCAAAGAGGTGGAGTTGCGGGTAGAGGAAGAGGTGGTGGTCGAAAACCTGACAAAAGTCACATTCAATGTTTCAATTGTCAAAAGTATGATCATTATTCTAGTGATTGTCTAGAAGAAAAAAAAGAATCAATAAAGTGAAGCAAATTTTTCAAAACATGAAGAAGAAGAGATGATGTTTATGGTCACAACAAGAGATTAAGAGAGATTCAAGGACCAATGGTACTTGTATTCAGGTTGCTCATTACACGTGTCTGGAAGGAAAGATTGGTTTGTCAACATAAAACTCTCGATGAAGAACATGGTGAAATTTTCAAATGACAATACTCTAGCAGCTGAAGATATTGGTGATATTTTGATTATGAGGAAGGATGGAAAAAGGTCAGTAATTTATAATGTGTTGTGTATACCAGGAATGAAGAACAATTTTCTCAACATAAGGTAGTTGGTCGAAAATAATTATAAAGTGTCGATCGAACATTAGATGATGTAAGTCGTCGATGTAAGAGGAAGGTTAATCTTGATGGCACCTATGTCTCGGATTAGAACCTTCAAGATTGAGCTCAAGGTGATGGAGCACAAGTGCCTTGCGACTGTAGCTAGAAGGGATGAGTGGATATGACACTATCTACTAGGTCATCTCAATTTCAAAGACATCAGAGATTTAAAAAGAAGAAATATGGTTTCAGGATTTCCAGAAATTGACATTCCAAACTAAGTGTGTGAGGAATGTATGTAGGCGAAGCAACACAAAAATAGCTTCAGCAAGGATGCATGAAGCAAGTCGAAGGCTATTATTGAAATCATATACTCTGATGTATATGATCCTATCCAGGTGGATTCGATTGGAGGTAAGAAGTAATTTGTTACATTCATAAATGATTTTAGCCAAAAATTATGGACTTACCTGATCAAGAAGAAAATTAAAGTGATCGATATATTTGTGAAATTTAAATTTATGGTCGAAAGACAAAGTGGTCGAAAGCTCAAGATTATGAGCACTGGTGGAGGTAGAGAATATTAAAGGTGCGAGAAACACAAGAAAGGGGGGTTTGAATTGGGTTGCACCAAATATAATCTTTTCGCAACTCAAACACAAAGCTAACAAGTGAATAAAAATAGATGAACACGATTATTTTTATCCTGGTTCACTGTTAACTAAGTTACTCCAGTCCACCCCACAAGATGATTTGCCTTATCCACAAGAACTTAATCCACTATAATCAATCAATTATAGACAACCACAATAAGTCTGATCAACCTTGTTGACAACCCCAATAAGTTCATTGATCCTTATTGCCAATCCATAATGACCGCAGTCAAAGTCTTCTTGAGAATTCTGACTCACTGAGTCTCTCAAGGAACCTATCAATAACCATTGATTTAATAATATGTGTATATATAGATGCTTCTAACAAGAATATTACACAATATTTAAGTACAACAACACAGGAGTGTTGATAGCAGGATAAGAACAAAAGCTCATTGTTTATTTACAAAATTATACAAAGAATATCTCAAAAGAGTTTGTGCAACGCTGAAGGAACTGGACAAAACTCATCGCATAAAAATCAATGAAGTCACCACCGAACATCTATTTATCTTACGAAGGAGAACGGGAATATCGAAGAAAACCTGAAAGGGAGAAATCAAGGTCTTTCGACCATGAAATCGGGTAAGGGAGTAGGTTACGCGAGGGGATGGTGTTAGCACCCCACACATCCATAGTACTCTACGGCATCCACTCTTGTTGTTTAGCTAATGGGTGTGTAAGAATCTTTATCTAAGCTGTACAAGGTATGTATGTAAAAGAAAGAAGAAAAAGTGTGGGGAAAAGAAAGAAGTATTTACAAATTGTGCTTGATTAGGCCCCACAAAATCCTCCGCCTACGTATCCATTTTAAGGAATCAGAGCAGCCGTAGTTCTGCTCAATAGTTTTGCTAGGTTCATATTTTTTTTATGGAACAATATCGATTTCGCATTCTACCTGCAGCCCGACCTTTGGAGACTCACGCATCTGGAGTATAAAGGAATTAATATGCTCAAAAAGTGTCTGGAGGCGGATAATGCTATAATCGCAACTTGTAGCAAGTAGGCATAGTGTAACCCGACCTTTGAGGAATTATTGCATCGTATTGCATAGAGCGTAAAATAACACATCCAGTTTGAAATTGAAAAGCCAAAAGGTAAGAAACAGAAACTTGAATTTGTTTGTGTATTTTACCTTTACGAAAGTATTTTGAGTTTATTAGAGGAGTTTTAAAGATTTTCCAAGAAAGAGTGTACTTTATGCACATGCAAAGTGGGAAAAAAAGGAAGAGTTTACGGGGGACTACCCTATTTTTTAAGCCTAGTGTTATCATACAAAGATTTCCTTAAGGTTCAGACCAAGGTTTTCTAGGAACCAACTCATCCGAGAAAGAACCATCCTAGTTGCTATTCGGAATAAACTCATCATCGAGAGTAAACTACAAGTCCTAAGGGAGCATGGCAAATGGAAGAAAGAAAGTACAAAAGT